AAACCTCCTGAAGGTGGTGTTCAGGTTTTCCAACCATTATTAACTAGAGCTTCCAAAACCTTGTCTCCTACAGGTTGCGAAAACTGGATGTATGAAATAATAGTTTTCCCAGTCACTAACTATCCACCACAGTCAGCCTCTAACCTGCTGGATCTGATTCTTGCTTGTAATCAAAATTTCCCTTCTCCATTGACCAGCTCTCCTCCTATTAACTATATGTTTCCAAATAACTTCTAACGTCCTAAATGGGAGGGCATGCAGGGCAGTGCCCATAATGCTTCCAAGAGTGAGACCCAACACTGCAGGAGGTGCACGAGGGGCTCTGTGCTTGGTGAGATACAGCCCTCTGACACTCCTGGGTGGCAGGAGGATCTGTGATCTCCTAGCCAGGCAGTGCCTGGATTCTGCACACAGATGTTCTCCATCACTTCTCTGCACCTGAGGCTGTCTGGGATAAGCTCTGCCGATTCACAAAGATAAACAGAAATCAGAAGAAATGAAACGATATGACCTGAACCTTAACATGCTGTACTTTTTCCTCACCCAAGCACAGACTTTTTGATCCCATCATTCGGGTTTGAAGCCACACCTATGCACCACACACTTCCCGGTGAGGAAATATTCCCTAGTCTGGTTGTTCTGACCAGCTAATCCATCCCAGCAGGGCTGTCTGGCAGCCTGCTAACATACATCAAAACACAAAACCTGCTGCTAGGTGAAAACAACTCGGGGGAGGCAGGAGAAAGCAAGCAAGAAGTAAGAGAGAACAGACTCGTCTCTTGACTAACGTTAACTCTCTCTTGGGTAGACAGCATGCTTCATGAAGAGGTCACGAGCCAACCACAGTAGGCAAAATGGATCATGGCCCAAGTGTCCTGCATGACAGCAGCCTCACTGGCTTTATTTGCTTCCTTTCAGAGCTATTGAGGTGCTGCAGTCCATAGGAGAGGGAAAGCTTATTGCCCTCTCTCCCCCTTACTGTGAGAATTGCACAAAGTTATTGAGACAGGCCATGTCCAACTAAGGTTATTCCCCTGTTTGCACACTATAGTGTTCCCGTTTCACATCCCAGAACACGTTTAATGCTGGATCCCAGAAATCAGAGATGGAAGGAACCTATCAGGTGGAGCTGGGACAAACATTTCCAAGCCAGCCACAATGAAAAATCCTGATTTCACCCCCTCCCCATGTTTTGCCAGTCCTTTCATGTTCCTTTCCACTAAGGACATTTCTGTAAGAACTTTGCCAGCAGGAAAGAATCTGAAAACCACGAATGCAGAAAGTGAACTCTGAACTGACAATAGAAATCTGAAGTATTGCGTGCTTCCAGCCAGACTCTAACATAACACTAAGAGGCCGCCTTATCCAATAAAAAGACCTAGCTGGAAAGCAAAAAGCACTATAAGACCTTATTATATAGCTGGTGATTGGGAAGGGGCTTGCTAAGAGAAAGGCAGACTGCTTTACAAAAAATGCTTTTTGAAAAGCTATTGCACAAAAGAAAAAAAAAACCCCACACCCTCAAGCAGAAAAATCCATAGAACAGAGGGCTGTATGCCACTTCATGTACTGGGTACCAATGAGAGATGTCTCACTTTAAAAGGAAAAAAAAAAAAAAGAAAGAAAAATCCACACATGGTTACCTAAGGTTACCTGTAACCCACATATATTCAGAGACGGAGGAAAAAGTTGTAATTCTCACCTCCCACAGAGTTAAGGTAAAAATCCCCAAGGAAAAAAAAAATCCACCTTTTCTCCTTTCATTAGCAGCAGAATAGAAGTGGGACTGGGAGACGTGAGGGTGCCAGAATGGATGGCTGCAATGAGACCATGATGCCTGCTGGGAAGGAGGGGAATGGGAAAGGATGTGATGGGGATTGAACAAGAATGTTCAACAAGAAGGAAGGGCACAGCCCGCAGGCACCAGGCTGTTTTACTCCATTCCTCCTGCTTCGAGTTAATCAGCACATGTTTCATGTACTTGAGTTACAAATGTTAGCTGCAGGTTATTTTATGTACAGTTTGCTTTGCTCAGTAATACAACATTTTCCAGGTAATGACTTGCCTCTGTTTCCAGTGATTTCTAAAGTATAACCTCATGTCAGATAGTGGGTTTAAGAGAAATGAGAGCCAAGTATGCTAGCCATGAAATAATCCCACAGCACCATGCTTACAGCTAACTGCTCTGAATGCTACTTCAGCTCTCAAATGAAATTTTATTCTCTTTAAATAGTCATAAAGACATTTCAGTCCTTATTATTTAGTCCAAAGAACACATAAGATCAGAGAATCTGACCTTCCACACATCTTATGCCAGAATAATAACAATTTTTTCAGACAGTCCATGACTTATTGAAGCTTATTCTGCTTTCTTGCAGAATACACAGCTGAGGAAGAAGTTAAGGCTGGAAGAAACGCCCTGGATCCTTAGGTCTAAGTTCCCTTTCACCATAGAGAATTGCAACATATAATCCCTTCCCTAATGAATACAGCCCTTCCTTTGAACTGTGTAGGCATCTGTGCTCCCACTATTCCTGCTGTTCTAGAACCTCTCCCTTCTAAAGAGCCCTCTGCTAATGACCAACATAAATATACTCAAGAGCATCCTGTAGCTGTTCACTCTTATAAAACGGTGCCCCTTCAGCTTAGCTTTATTTTTGCCCCTCCTCCCTGATATGTACCCCTTGATATACCTACAGAAATCAAAAGCTCTGCTTGAAGATTTTATGCTGCAAGGCTAAAGAAATGGCGCTCGTAACTTCTTCATGAAGACAGCTTGACATTCTCCCCCTGCACCTGCTGCAGCTTCATGCAAGAGTTGGGTTTTCTCCCTCCGACTCCCCTCCTGGTGACTGCTGCCTCCCGCGCTGGCTTCCCCCTTAGCGAGCACAGACCCTGCAGTGCAGGGGGACATTCCAGAGGCAGGAACAGCTGAATGCAGGACAGCCCTGGGCCAGACCTCCACAACGACTTAACAAGGTTCTTGTAGTGAAGTCCACTGCAAATTTTGACCAGCTCATGCTTATTCTGTGATTTCAGCGTATCCAGCTTTTCTCCTCTGTTGTTTCTGAACTGGGGTCTCCCATGTTTTGTGCACATTTTGTTTGTTTGATGTTAGAAGTTTATCCCATTTTTATTAATCCCATGGGACAACCAACTCTTCCACTAAATACCTTCCCTCCCTTATTTTGAGGGGATCTCCCACTTCTGTGATCAACAAACTCGTATCTTTCGTACACAAGTTATTAACATTAACCATTAAATCCCAGCTACAGGACAGAGATTTACAGAGTGCCCAACAGTCCCGCTTCAGCAAAACGCTACATTCTCTTGTCATTTCTTTGCCCACTTTACAATTTGTTCAGTAATTCTCTCTCCTCTAGTTGAGCTAATAATTTCACTGCATGTCACCACAGCAAATGGTCTCTGGAGGCTAGAGGTTAGATTTACAGCTTTTCCTTTATCTAGCAAAGGCTTATCAAGGAGCTTATTCACCAGCCTGAAAGGCTCTCCTATTTCACATTTAACTTCACATCTTAAGTTTAACAACAGCTTTCTTTCAGAGTTATTCCAAATTTTCTTCTCTTGTTAAACGCATTATTCCATCCCTCTCACTCCCTGTTCATTTAGCCATGGGCTTTATGAATTACAATATCAACTTCAATTTGTCAGACTGACTTGTTACTGGACTTTGCATTTCATACATCATTTCATTCTTAATTCTTAACCATCATAATCCACCAAGTTCTTTTTGTTTTCCTCAGACATGGCACTTTCTTTTTTCCATTACATAAAACTGTTATACTATACAACCATATAAATTCTTTTTCTCTCCATTGACATATGAGGAAGTTAGGAATCAGATACCATCAGGCCAATATTTTTGCATTAGAAACATGGGAGATAGGAAGTAGCTATAGGAAATGATAGGTTTTCAAAGCTCGATTCTTAAACATACAGAAACCTCTTAGCGAACAGTTTGATTTGCAGAGCTTTTAGTTTCAAGCAGCTTTCCGTGAGGACAGGGGCAGCTGCTGGGCACCCAGGACTGGGGGAGGAAAATGACTGAACCAGCTGCCAAG